AAAAGACAGAAAGAAATAAAGGGTAATTATTTACAACATATTAATTTCACGTGTTCCTATCAACACGAATCCTCTAGTTTGGCTGCATGGGGAAATTCTTCCAATCTTCCCGCGAATTTGAGAAAGATTGTCGACGTAGATATCGCTAAATACACGCGAGACAACTGGGAGGAATTGAGACACGAATGGGAACCTTACGCCAAGAGAGACACTCTCTGTTTGGGAGCTTGTTTGATAAAATACAACCAAGTGACGAAAGAAGTTGTAAACCAGAATATGTCCAATAATCTAACGGCTCCATCTTTATCTTTAAAGGGTTGGTATTATTTATATCATTACGATAAAGAAATGGTGGAAGAAGAATGGTATGAAACTACTAGAATGGTTGCGAAACATTCGGAAAAACAAAACATTGAAAAAGTTTATTCGCACACTAATCCTTTTATAAGGAATTTTATAAGACGTTCTATTAAAGGTGGGAGAGTCTCTGCTAACAGAAAATCGTTCGAAACGAACAAAATGAATGAGATCTGCGCCATATTAAAAGAATACAATGAAAGCGACACTGAAGGAATAATAGATTTATTCAAAGAATACGGTGTTAACCCAAAAGATAAAACGGAAGTTCACGCTAAACTCAAAGAACTGGACTGTACTAAACTAATGGCATTTGATGCTAACGGTTTATACGCTTCCGCCATGTCGGATTTAGACAGTGAATATCCGAGAGCCGAAAGTGGAAGACCGTTTCTACCAGAAGAAGAAAAAGAATTTGTGATGCTGTTCAATAAACAAAAATTCAGACCTAGAACAGCTATTTTAACAGTGTGGTTTGACTATCCCAAAAACATGTTCTTCCAACTGATACCAGCTAAAGATAAAATCACTTTCGCGAATAAAGAAGGTAAAAAGGAAACGGGTAACAAAATCAGGTTCAGAAATGGTTTCTGTCACGACGTTTTAACATCGGTCGATATTCAAGAAATAGTGAAAGCCGGTGGACGAATTATTAGAATATTTGATGGTATAGTTTACGAAGAAAATTTTAAAACTCCACCCTATAGAGATTATATTTTAATTTTGAGAGATCTAAGAAATAAATATAAACGAGAAGGTGATATCGTGGGTAGTAATTGCATGAAATTATTAGGTAATTCCTTGTATGGTAAATCAATTCAGAAAGACATATTCACAACTAGACATTTATGGAATGAAGCAACTTTACAGGCCAACTTTGATTCACGCGTTAAAACCTATGAGAAAATTAATGATACTCAATATATTGTTGAAACAGAAATTGAAGAAAAAGAGATTACTACCGAAGACAGTAAATCTACACGACTAACACCTAGTCATTTGGGATCATTCGTTTTATCTCACAGTAAAAAAATAATGAACAATTTCATTCACGTCATAAATGGATTTTATAAACCCGAAATATACTATACCGACACCGATAGTTTGTACATTTCATCCAAAAATTGGAAAAAACTAAACAGAGCTGGTTTGGTCTCCGAAAAAGACTATTGCAAAGGTAAAAACGATTACGGTGACGGTGGAATTATATTTGGTTTATATTTAGCACCAAAAGTCAAATACAACATCGTTTTGACTTCTGATGGTGTTTTAAAAGAAAAGAAAACGTTTAAAGGTTATTCTAATGATAAGATAAGTGTAGAAGATTACGTTCAGTTAGCAAGCGGACATGATGTGTCGAACGAATTTAATAAACCATGGGAAAAAAGTTTCACCAATGGAGTAGTTATTCCAAATGATAAACAAACTAAAGTTTTTAGAAGTTATTTGAATAATGTTAAAAGAAAACCACCAAACAGTGAAGGAATTATGTATCCTTACAACGACAAAGATGAGTATAGTTTTGACGAAAACTATGAATTTGATGATTTCGATTATCTTACTATTCAAGAAGAGAATGAAGATTGTTTTAAATGAAGTTGAATGACAATTTCTTCGTTGCCAAAGTTTATGAACCTGTTTTTACCGTCTTTGATTTCTAGATTTATATCTTTGATCATGAAAGAATTGACTGGTAAATAGGTCGTTTGAAACGGTTTCTCTATAATTCTGTATCCGATCGGCACCGTAAAAGTCGGTATGCTGTATATGATTTGGCGTTTGTGCTTGTTGAAAAATCCACCATTGATCAAATTACAGTGAATGTTGATCACGTCGATATCGTTCTCGATGTTGGCCTTGTGCGGCGCCAATGTCGATTGCGCGTATATTCGTTTATCGAACCCTAGTAACGCATTCAACGAATTTTCTACGTTGAAATCGACTTGACTGTTATTTCTCAAGATCAGTTTTATTTTGTTCAGATTCAGATTACCTTCGAATTCGATATTGTTTTTGCCGTTCACGCTTCCTGCGTATTCGGATAGGTAATCGTTGATGGCTACGTATTCGTAGCTCCCCGGTAGAAAGCTTATGGTTTCGAACGTAACTCCGTTATCCGTCGATATTTTTAGTTGATTGTTTTTTCGTTGATGTTTCTAATGGAATTGTAAACGGAGAAATACTTTAATCCCAGTTCGTACTGTTTATTGCGATCGAGTTCATACTCGTAGTCTAGAGACAATTTGATGTCTGGTTTATTCGGGGTGATAACGAACAATTGTTCTTTATTGGACATTTTTAATGACGTTTATATAGTCTTTTTTAGTGATGATTTCTTTCTCCAAAAGTCGTTTTAATATAGCATTGACTTCGTTGTATTGTCTGTCCGATCGATGACCTTCTTTTATGGCCGCTTATATTATTTCTAATCTATTAAGCAATTCTTTATTGTTGTCGGATAAGAACGTTATGCCTTGTCCAGATGCCACCATATCATCGAATTCGTCTATTTCTTGTATGATTGGTGGATAATCTTCTGCATAATCGTCTGATTTCTCTTCCTCAATAACTCTTGTTATATAAAAATCAACTTCTTTCAATCTTCTTGTTTCGGGTCCTGACTTTCTGATCGCATGTAGAAATTTTGAATATGCAACTAAATCCTTGTAATCGGCAATTTCAACATCCTCCCCAATCATTAAATCTATTAATCCTTTCGTTAATGTAAATATAAAGTCTTTTGTGTCGATTTTGAATAAAGGGGAATTTGGACTAAATATTATTCTAAATCCATTAAACAATAAACCTTGATTATCAACGATTGGTGAAATGCTCTTTGGTAAATCTGGGTCAGGGTTTGAAAAAAGACGTTTTATATCATCTAATGTCTTAATTATAATAGCATTATATTCAATCGGTTTGGGTTCTATATGAGGTGTGGGTTCTAAAGCTAATTTCTTTTTAATATCCTCTTGAGATTTTAATATGGGTTGAAATAGAGTCCGTTAATCCGAGTTGTTGTAATCTGTTATTTTCAACTTGGATCTTTATTTTATTCTTAGCTTCGATATATTCTCTATTTCTCTTTAAAAAATTATTCCAATCCGTCATTTTAAAAAAAATAAAATTAACATATATCGATCATAACTCTTTCTCCCGCAGGTTTTCTAGTATTTACAAATACATATCCATGATCATCTGGGTTTCTCCATTGAGCTTTACAAACCTTTTTAAATGTATCTCTGTCCATTCCGTGATTTATAGACTGAATGATTTGAAATAAATCTTTATCGTTTAATTCAAATAATAAAAAACAATTTGCATTTTTTCTAATGAACATAGAATCCATCCCGTAAAAAGATTGGGATTGGTATATGCAGTGACAGTTGTGATGTCTTCCTTTGGTGAAGAATTCTTGTTGAACAGTTTGATTTCTTTGCGCTACGCAGTCGTCAAACAATATTAAGTTCTTTCAATTGCTTTCAATATTAGACAAGTGTAGATCATTAACATTTTTCGTAAGAAAAACTTTTATATCCCTTGGATTCTTTCCTTCGATGTAGTTATCTATGATATCTTTTATTTCCACTTCTTCGTTTTCTTCGTAATATTGAAATAGGTCTTGAACATCTTTCTTTGGTAAATATTCGAAAGCTTTGAGAAATTGATAATACGATTGCTCTGGTGTTGTTGTGTAGATATACAGAGAATCGAAATCTAAAAGGTTTGGTGTTGTCAACATGTTAAAAGTGAGATGAGTTTTCCCAGAACCTGAACTACCGCATATACACATGAGCATTGGGTTATTAGGAAATATTTCCGAATGATTAAATTTCTTGCCCATTTTTATTTATTACATTTTCGTACCAAAAATCACCCCGTTGCCTTTATACTTTAAAATGAAGATTCCCTCGCCCGAACGTATGTTTTTAAAAAATTTGGCGTCGCCCTTGTGTTTGACCTTCATTTCTCCGGTGTCGATTTTATCTATTAATTTGCTTAATCCCTCTTTAACGGTTTTCTTGGTTTCTTCGCCAAATCTTTGTCCGAATTCTTTAACCGTCCCTAATATATCTCCTATTCCCGGACCTCCTCGTGCTTCTCTTTCCATTGCCAAATTGTGTCTACGTTCTTCAGCTTCTTTTACTGCAGCTGCTTTATTTGCGTTGGCAGCTTTGACTGCGGCAGATATTCCTCCAGTAGCTGCACCAGCTGCAGTTAAACCAGCAAAGATTAAAGGTAAGAAAGGTAAAAATCCACCTTTTTAGTTAAATTCTCATCAATTCTTTCCAAGTCTATATCGTCTCTGACTTTGCAATGTTTGTATTTATCGATAATCTTTTGGGTTATGTGCACTTTTTTACCGTTGTAAGTTATTAGAGTCGGCGAATTCGTTTCCATAGCTTCTATTATTTTCATAACTAAAGTTTCTGGTTTCATTTTTAAAGGGTGTTTTTTTATTCAATTCTTATCATTCTTCTATCTGATATTTTAATCAAATGTTTTGCTTCTTCCAGCAATAAACAATAGCCGGTCACATCTCCTTGTGTTTTATCGATGTGAATATTTATGTTTACCCCTGTTTTGAAAAGATCTTCTTGATGAGCTGACAGATCGAAACAAAAGATTGGATGATTGAGTGAAAAATCTGTGTATTCAAACTGAGGCGTATTTCCAAACAATTCGCACATGTTTTTATAGTTTCTGTACAATTCGTTGTAATCTTTTTTGGAAGGATCAATTGTCAAAGGTTGATTGGGATAATTATCGTTGTTCAATCTGACTTGAACTTTGCGAATTATGGGATCTTGAGTATGGTTCAATGCCACTCTGAAAATGTTGTTGTTGTTTGTCTGAGAGTCTAGTAAGTTTTTGAAACCGACCATTAGATATCTCGCTGGTTTGACGGTGTTGGTGATTGGCCACGTGGTGGATTCTCCCGTTAAAGTCATGCTACCTACCGTGTTACGACGAAGAAAAGCAATTTCGATGTCTTTGGTTAAAGAGTTGAATATTCTCGTTTCCACTTCTACGGAAGGAGTGATTACCGGTATGTAAAGTTGGATATTCGTTATTTCCAATTTTGCGTCAGAGTTGTTTTCACCAAAGAATATCTTGTTGTCGTTGATTTCTCTTTGCAAATGAATTTTATACGGTAAACCTATGGAAACCTTTCTGTGTTCCAAGAGACCAAATAAAGGATACAACTTCCAATTTACGTAATTACCCCATCTGTTGTTCTCGACGACATTGTTGTATTGAAGCGCTCGTTTTTCAAATCCGTGATTTACTCCGCGAGTCACTCTTTCCAGTGTGTTTCTAGCAACTACCCTTATCCTAGCAAG